TACTAATGGCGTGCTGTTAGTGGCGCACCACAGATGCGCCATTAATGGCCATAATAGGTGCGCCATTAGTAGAGGTTTTTCTAGTAGTGCATCGGAGTGGTTGTTGGTGCTGGACATGCTCGCCGGCCTAGGGATTTGGCAAATTGGGGAAATGGAAGCGTCGGGAAGGGGAGCGGAGCGGAGCGGAGTGAGCTAGGATTTCTGCCGGACAGGGGTTTTGATGGGGTCGGGGTGGGCCAACGGTGGGCTGGGCTGACGTGGCGGGTGCGCTCGGAACGCCTCATATCCGCCCTATATTTGGATGGACGGATATGAGGGGGTGCCGGTCAGCCCGGACATTTGAGGCCCATTTAAGAGCTTTACTGGGTGGGTATTTATGACCGGTTAGTACCGGACGGCCTGCCCGGAGGCATGAGACGGATAAACGGCACCCGGTTGTAGATGCACTAATCGATGTAATTTATTCTACTCTTGCACGTCAGAGCGCACATAATGGTGGAGTATAAAATAGTGTTGTTTGATGTTGGGCGGATATACAAAGTTGATTTATTTTTCAAGTGGTAATTATCGTTGGAAATTTATGCTGAGAGCTCAGAGCATCTACAGTCGGGCGTCCTATATCCGTCTCATATGTCTGGACAGGCCGTCCGGTCACTGACCGGTCACAAAATACCGACCCAATCGGAGCTCTCAAACGGGCTCAACCGCCCGGCCTGACCGGCACCCCTCATATCCGTCTCAAATGTAGGGCGGATATGAGATGGCCCGGGCACGCTCGGGCTCGTCGGCCTGACAAGTCCGACCCATCACCAACCCCACGGATGTCCCACAAAAAATCCCGTTGGGCTCATCACTCCGAAACCCTAGCTCACTCACTCTTTGCTTTCTCTCTCCATCCTATCCTTTCCCCGCATCGATTCCGATCGAATCTGGCGCAATGTCGAGCGGCAACCGCTCCGACGATGAGCTGGATCCGGAGTATGAGCTAGCCCTCCGCATCGCCTTGAAGCGGTCCAAGGTGGAGACCGGAGGCAGCTCTGGATCTGCAGCTTCGTCGCAGCCGCAGTTTCCCCGTCGGCGCGGCTCGGATGCCGGCGTTGGCCCCTTCCGGCCCGGGGGCAGCTCCGACAGGCTGTCTATGCAATCCGAGCCTCCCCTACGCCGTCCCCTGGCCCTGCCGGCTGCCGCTTCCCCTCGTGGGCGGCGATGGCTGCTTGTGCCCGCCGCGCTGGCCCGGACGCGCACGTCGGAGTCAGAGGCGCGTGCCGCCCGCCGCGAGAGGTAGCAGACAAGGGGAGAGGGATGCCGCGGAGAGCTCTGTCTGCCGCCGTCCTGGGTTATCGCCGGAGCCCGACGAGGATGAACGGCTCATCGCGTGGGGTCTACCGCCGGTTGCTTACGCTGGTGGAGATGGACGCTCGATGGCTCTGCCGGAAGAACGCAAAGGCTTTTCGCTTGCCATTGAGCAGTCCGAGCGAGAGGCGAAGGAGAAGGCGGCTTGGCTGGCCAAGCTCATGCGCCAACAGGACTGGGCCATCCAGCGCCTCAAGGGCCTCGCCATCGTCTCCTCCTCGTCCGACTACGACGGCTCCTCGTTCAACGAATCATATGATTCTCCACCAGTCGCTGACGGCTACAGCTATGCCGGCGACCAGACGGGGAAAGGGCGGGCCCGGAAGTGGTGAAGTTTAATTTTATTTCAAGTTTTAGATGTAGTATAAAGTTGTCCGTCGTTTATGTGAACTTTATGATCTTTTGGTGAACTATTATGCTGTCCTATGTCTGATCCTATGTCCGGCCAGTTGATTTACGTAGTTTGATCGACGTTGCATGATTTAGTATGGATATATGTGTTCGGATATGAGATACATGGATGTGAACGATGCGATTTGAGGAGTGCCTGATCAGTGTCCGTGGACGGGCCGAGCGCCTCCGTGGATGTTTGAGGGGCCAGATTTGCCAAGTCCGGCCATAGATGTTCTTACATCTTGGTGGAAAGGCCCTTGAATCTATAGTGTGAGTGCATTATACAAAGGCATCATTTGCTTCAAACAGGTACACCAACGAGCCGGAAGAAAAAGGATGATCTTCACTCTCGAGCTGAATTACCCATCATTATTTGCGCTCCCTCGTCCCGATGTTGCTTTGCGCCCGCTATTGTTGCAAGTGCAACCAAACCCTCTCCGAATTGTTAATTACAATGTGTACTTGCTCCATAGCACAACTACTACTACCACCTATGTGTTTTAGCAGATCATTACTTCCTCCGTCTGAAAATACTTGTCCTAAAAATATAGGGAGTATTTACAATCAGCAGGTTTCTTGATCTCACATGCATTTTTTTGAAAACAAATCTGTATGTTAATTTAACCAACTTCTTTGGTTTTACCAATATCTTCCTGGTTCATATGTTGTGTTCGCACACAAACATATCACTGTGTACATTTTAGATGAAGAAACATATCCCTCCGTTTCATAATATAAGAGCGTTTTTGACACTAGTATAGTGTTAAAAACGTTCTTATATTTCGGAACAGAAGGAGTAGCTCGTTGTGCCGTCTGAAATACATCTTGTTTGTTGCTGGGAAGTGGGGCTCTTTCGCTCCCCTGAAGCCAAGTTAGAAAAACGACCGGCATAAGGTATCGCCCTTCACATGACAAAAGACACATTGACTCCATAGGCTTCTTCGTCTCCAATGTATGCACCTCATCAGTATCCTCCGTTTTAAATAGATGACGCAATTTTATACTTATTTTATAAAGTTAATATAAAGTTAAGTCATTTATTTTGAAATGGAGGGAGTGGATGTTGTTTACTCCCTCCCTGGCTTCTTGTCCAAGATATAATATCGACAAGATAACGTTGTTTACGCGTTCCACAAACCAATCTTGGAATCACTCAGCCTGGTCAAACATTGTGAACATTGGAGATCCTGCGTCTGCAGCCAGTTAAACAATCAGAGCGCAATATATACACGGCTCCTCTTGCTCTGATAAAGAGAGGAAGAACAAACACAATACAGCTAAACAGATTCCAACACGACTTGATAATATCGTGCTCGCAGAAGATGGCCGGAGGAGGCGATGAGCTGAAGCTACTCGGCATGTTCGCGAGCCCGTTCGTCATGCGAGCGAAGCTGGCGCTCAGCTTCAAGGGCCTGAGCTTCGAGGACGTCGAGGAAGACCTGGCCAACAAGAGCAAGCTCCTCCTCGAGTCCAACCCGGCGGAGAAGAAGGTGCCCGTGCTCATCCACAACGGCAAGCCCGTCTGCGACTCGCGTGTCATCGTGCAGTACATCGACGAGGCCTTCAGCGGCAACGGCACGTCTCTCCTCCCCGCCGACCCCTACGAGCGCGCCGTCGCTCGCTTTTGGGCCGCCTACGTCGACGACAAGGTACTATGCCATGTCCTAGGTTAACAGCGCCGCCGTGCCCTGTATCTGCGTGGGAGGTTGGTTATTAGCTGACGAGATGTGTGCGTGCGCGCGCAGCTCTTGGCGTCTTGGCTGCAGGCCGCGAGGGGCAAGACGGAGGAGGAGAAGGCGGAGGGGCTGAAGCAGACGCTCGTGGCGGTGGAGACCATGGAGGCGGCCTTCAAGACATGCTCCCAGGGGAAGCCTTTCTTCGGCGGCGACAGGGTCGGGTACCTGGACGTGACGCTCGGGGGCTTGGTCGTCTGGGTGCACGCCGGCGCGGCGCTGTATGGCATGCGGCTTTTCGACGACGCCAAGAGCCCTCTCCTGGCGGCGTGGGTGGAGCGCTTCGGCGCGCTGGACGCGGCCAAGGCTGTCCTGCCGGCCGTCGACAGAGTGGTCGAATTCGCCAAGATGAGACAGGCGCATGCTGCGGCACCGGCCACGGCAGGAGGCAACTAAGCTGCCCATAACCACGTGTTTAAACATCAGCAGCTCGGTGTCTGCAAATGCTACGTTGCCAACACCAGGCGGTGTGTTGCTGATTGTTGTATTTGTTCCGTTGCTCTTACAAATAAAATTTTCCCAGCAATAGCCCAAATCGGCCGAGAAACCTACTCCAACGCCGCCCATTGATGCATCCCAACGTCTTATCTCACAGTAATTCACTATTTAAAGACGGTCATACCCAGCTAACTTCACACCAGAACGCAAGCTCCTCTCCATCCTCCTCCTTTGCACTGCATCTGTCATAGTGCAGGCGGCGAAGCTCTGTGATAGAGCCTTTCCATGGAGATGAAGCACGCCGTGGGCTGCCACCTGGCAACGCTGTCATGCCAGGCGGATCAAGGTCGGCTTGCCGACCAGCTCGCCCGAGGTCTCCGACGCCGAGGACGATACCACGATGGAGACGAGCTCTGACAACACCGCCTCGGTTCCTGCGCCTCCTGTGCACGCCGACTTCACTATGGAGCAAGCGCGGGCGCACTACAACGCCGCCATGGTGGAGGTGCAGCATGCGACGACACCTCTGTCAATGTTCTAGCAGTCGTGGGAGAAACAACGGTACAACGTGTTCCTCCTGAAGCAGCACCGGTTGGTGGAGGGCCAGATCTACAGCAAGCGGGTGAACGAGGAGGTCGTGACGGTCATGGCCACGGCGAGCCCCAACTTCATCGTGGAGCGGCGTGCCATCTGCATGTCGTCTGTGCTCAAGTCGCCGCTCGCCAGAAAGCGGCCTCCTCAGAGGCGCAGCTGCAGGTGATCGTGGACAAGAACAATGCCAGTTGCACCTCCTACGCGTCACCGATGAACCATCAGTCGGCCCGGTGGGATGACGACAACGCCGTCGCCACCACTTCTATTGTGGACCTCACGTCCACCAGCGACGGACAGGTCGCAGACTTCTATGGCAGGTGGCGGCGCCTTATGTCTCATGTGGGCCCGATCTGTCTCCCCTATTCTACTCTTTCTCGCTAGAAACCACACTTTCATTTCATCGGTCTTATTGCCGGTACTCATGAAGACAACGATGGAGGACGATACGGGCTTGGACGCCGGGCACCGCCGTCGTAGGATAGGTTCAGGGTCGGGCTTTTTTTCTTTTCCAAATGTTCGAAATGTAATGAAAATCCGTTGTGTTTGTATGTAATATGTCATATTTATATGGAATCCGGCCTTGTTTGCATGAATTTCATCTGATTTATTAAACAAAAGTTTAAAATGTATGCGGCTAGGACGAAACTTTTGGATGATACCCTTAAACTAACTATTCACACCGTTTGTATTTGTAACTTTTTTTTTCTTTTTTCTTTGTCAAGAAGTCAGGGGCCCTCGATGTTGGCCACCCGTAGGACTACGAGGCCCCCCCGCGCCACCCATTGCCGCCGCCGCGTTGGATCTGGGAGAGCAGCCCCTCACAAGAACCAGACGATGGCGCCTGGTTAGAGCTTGGAAGTTTCCTTGGATTAATAATCCAGATGAAGATTGAAGTACCCATTGAACATTCCAACGTTGCTATCATGTACCGACAGAAAACATATTGAACTCCGAAATGTGGCTGAGCACCGTTGTGCAAGAAAACACAGGTCATGCACGAGAGCGTGACCACATGCTTAGGAGGAAAGTCGTCGGCACAAGCATCATTCAGGTTGCAAGTGGACACGGGCCGCCCACGGTGCCCACTTAAAGGCCCGTTTATTTTGCATTCGCGGACATCCACGGTCAGCACATCCCGATATGTGGAATATGTGGGTTGTCCCACGATGCCCACATCGAACCCACCTATCTAACTAACTAGCCTGGGCACGCCGGGGGGATTAGGGCTCGCCGCCAGCCATGGCCGCGCCGCCGTGGCCGGCCTATACCCGTCGTCCACCTCCTCCATGGCCAACCTATTGACTTCGTCGACCTCCTCTATGGCCGCACGAGCGTCATCTTCCATTCCCGCATTGGGCGCTGCAGCACCGCCGTCTATCTCCGTCGCGGCTGCCGGCCGCCCCAGAGCCGCCATGTACCTCCGCAGCCGCAACTCTTCCCACCACCACACAATTCTCTTCTCTCAGCATTCCTGCTGCCGGCGCCACTGGAAAGGACTGCGAGAAGAGGCCTACCCCAGGCATCGACCAAGAATCTAGAAGGAAAAGTTTCAAGAAGAGAATCTGCAATTGACAAGAGAAGGAAGATTCCTGCTGTTTCCCCCTCTTCCAATCCATACAAAGCTCGAGGTTTTAACTGAATTTTATGCATGTATGCGCTGCTGCTATGTGTGTGATGTTAAGTTCCTGCATGATTAACTGCTAGATCCTTTTGAGAGACTAAGAATGGTGGTTGTACTGTGTCCCTGCTCTCTGTTTCTCTGCATGACAAATAATCTATTCTCTGTTTCTGTATGAACTATAATTAAGTGTCTGTATGGACTAGGTGGGCATTGTACTGTTTAAATATTGCCTCTCTATTCGTCTTGCTACTGAAGAGTTAATTATACGGGCAGTTAATTATAGTGTTGTTTGTTGGTGCTGCAAGTACAACGGCACTAGAGCACTACTAGGCCAAGGCATGTCGTGCATGCCGTGCATGCCGGCTGTACGTGCGCATTATGCACACGAGCTGTTAAAGCTCCCAAGGAACCAGTGATGGTAGCTCACCACCTCAAGATGACAATGCGAACGTATTTCAACAGGTACATCTGCATCAATTAAGTGGATATTCCACTAAACCAACATATCTCACATAATAATATATGGGCTTTGGCGGGTATCCCATTTAATCTACGCGGCAGATGTGGGGCGGACGCGGGCCTCCCGCGGAGCGTCCCACTTACAGCCTGAAGCATCATGGATGACGCATCGATCCTTTATATATTCCGCACTCCACACTAACCACAGAATCACACGGAACCTTGAGGCACGCCCACCCCACGGGAGAAAATGGCAGACACAGGAGACGAGCTGAAGCTGCTGGGCATGTGGGCGAGCCCGTACGTGGTCAGGGTGCAGCTCGCGCTCCGCCTCAAGGGCGTGAGCTACGAGTACGTCGAGGAGGACCTCGCCAACAAGAGCGAGCTCTTCCTCCGCTCCAACCCGGTGCGCAAGACGGTCCCGGTGCTCATCCACAACGGCAAGCCCGTCTGCGAGTCCCAGGTCATCCTGCAGTACATCGACGAGGCCTTCGCCGGCGTCGGCCCGTCCCTCCTCCCCGCCGACCCCTACGAGCGCGCCGTCGCGCGCTTCTGGGCCGCCTACGTCGAAGACAAGCTGCTGGCGCCGTGGGGGAAGGTGTTCAGGGTGACGACCGACGAGGAGAGGGCGGAGTGGACGAGGCAGACGGTGGCGGCCGTGGGTCATCTGGAGGAAGGCCTGAGGGAGTGCTCCAAGGGGAAGGGCTTCTTCGGCGGCGACTGTGTCGGGTACGTCGACGTCCTGCTCGGTAGCATGGTGCCGTGGGTGCGCGCCACCGAGAGGCTCTCCGCCGACAAGTTAATCGACGCCGGCAGGGCCCCGCTGCTGGCGGCATGGATGGAGCGCATTAGCGAGCTCGACGCGGCCAAGGCGGTCTTCCAGGACGTCGACAGGGTGGTTGAGTACGCCGGGGGAATACAGGCCCGGCTTTCCGCCGCGGCTGCAAGCACTCAATAAAGCGGCATGGCGGCCTGGTGAGCAGCTGATGCAAGGAGAAAATAGCCAAGTGTGGAGTTAGCTGGAATTATTAAAATGGCCACGTTTCTGTTTCTTTTTCTCGAATAATGGCGACATAATATGCAAGTATGTGATATTACCAGTTTAAAAACTTGTGTGGTTGTCGTGACAGCTCCTCCTCTGTTTTTTAAGGGACATTTACATTTCTGTCCTTGGCTTTGTCACGTTAGTGGGGTTTGTCTTTTGGTTTTTAGGTTGCTCAATTTTGCCATTGAAAGATTATATGTTAATATGACTAGCACATATGTCCGTGCGTTGCAACGGAAGAAATAACAAAATTATGTTCAATTTTTGTGATGATTGTATCTGCAGAACACGTTTAGTTCATGCAAACTTTGATCTTAACCAAGATCCATGGAAACATCGCTAAAACATTTTTAGTGTGGTACTAATGATACACCTCTAATTAATTGTTCCTGTCTTGTCAAGCATCTCATCGAAATTTAAAAAAAATATTTTCCTTGCAAAAAAATCTTTTAAACTTTGTAGTCATTTATTAACAAAAAACATAATATTTTCTTTACCATCACAACGACTATTTTTTCCAACCTTCCTTGTTGTGTGCCTGAACTTACCTGGACAAAAACCCACAAACAGAATTTGCATACTTCAAAGAGCACCAATCAAATAAAAATGAAATGTTTATAAGTAAATCAGCACGAACAGAACATGCTGAGGGCTCAACCTGCTAAGTGACTGCCTAAAAAAGCCGGCATGAAAGATAAAGCCTGTAAATACATGAATTGAGCAACTAAAGAACATTATAAGTCACATTATAAATTTCTGACTCACATGTCAGCACTTACCCTGCATGAATATTTTTGGGATCCAAAAGTGTTGACTCATGAGTCAGAATAAAAAACTACTATTTTGCTTTGCTCTTTTGAGCATCCAACACAAGGTGTGTGGGACCTACATATTAATTCACTGACAGCTTACCTAGTGTACACAGGAGAACAGGAGAGAATATCTAGTGTAGCACATCACCACCAAAGAAACTATACAGGAGAGAGTATCTAGTGAATCAGCCCCTATCATCCCTAGCACCAACTATACAAATCTGGCTTACCTGATGATGAACATAATTACTATTGAAACAATAAAATATTAAAAAATATAACAATTGGTCTTGTTTCAGTGAGTACTAGCTAGCAACCTACTCCCTCCGTCCGAAAATACTTGTCATCAAAATAAATAAAAAGAGATGTATCTCAAACTAAAATACATCTAGATACATCCCCTTTTATCCATTTTAATGACAAGTATTTCCGAACGGAGGGAGTAGGCAGCGACGGTGGCCTGATGTTGTTGTTCGCCCAAGGGGTGGGATGTCTGCAGGCGTCAAAGCGGACCCATCCACATCATATACGTGAGCTTGGTGTAACAGTTGGGATGCCCCATGCGTGACATGGAGTGCACGAGCTCGGCAGTTGACATGTATTCCCTCCGTTCCTAAATATAAGTCTTTCTAGAAATTCCACCAAGTGACTATATACGGAGTAAAATGAGCGAATCTACGCTCTAAAATATGTCTACATACATCCGTATGTTGTATTCCATTTGAAATTTCTAAAAAGATATATATTTAGGAACAGAGGAAGTACGTGCTGCCATCTTGGCTGAAGACGACGAAGGCCTCGACGGAGGAGGGGCAGGGCCAGAGGAGGAGATGCACACCACCCATTGGGTGGACGTGAGCTAGTTGAACTCCACGGTCCGTTACCCATCGTCGTGCTGATTTCATCCGGGCAGAGGCCAAGTGAGCGGAGAAACGTGGCTATTTCGAGCAAGTTGCCACCGCTGTTGAAGTCGAATCAGAGGAAGAGTCTGCAGAGTTGCAGCAGCTCCTCGACCCGGAGCAACGCATACAAGCAAAACACACACATATGCATCTCTGCTTCTCCAATTCAGCATGCTTCGCACAAAGCATCAGTAACGCATAAGGCACATCACATATGCAACTCAGATTCACTATTCAGTTATTCACCGCTGTGTAGAGTCTGCAGCAAGCTAGATGGGATAGGGAGTGCTGTTTGGAGGCAGCCCCATGTATCTATGGAGGTAATTTATATTTGGGGAGACAACGCTAAGTAGTTGACGCCGCCATTGGGGTGCACGCCGAAGCCATGGAGAGGAGCAGCACATGGGCAACGGCTTAGGAAACGACTCGATGGACAAGCTGGCAGCACTCGCCCACCCAGCCAGCCACCGACCTCGCTGCTGATTCTAGCGGTTGCTTGCAGGACAAGGTCGAGCCCACGCCACCCGCTGCCTCACCCTGTACCACTCCCTCCACTGTTCCGCCTGTTGTGCGGCCCGACCTCCTCATCGACGAGGTCTCCAACTCGTGCAGGAGTAGCCCAGTAGGGCTCTCGCTTGCCTCTCGTCGGTGTCACCCAAGACGCCGCTGAGATGAGCGGAGAGCGAGCTCCCGTCACGCAGTCGCTAGGATGCGCTGGAGGAGAGCGTGATCCTGTCTCCTAGCCGGCATGCACCGTTGCAGGGCAGCCTAGGACCGGTGGCATAAGAACGACCACCGTGCAGAAAATCAATGGGACCTCGAGGGGATTAGCCGATTATTTTCCCTTATAGCTTCTGGTACTCATGAAACTGGTTTCAGATATGTATACGACTTCCGTTCATCAGTAGGAGTTGGATTACACATGGACACTCATGGACGAACAGACTGAGAGGCTACGTACGTATACAAAGCAAAACCACCAGTCGTGCAATGTGAAAATCAGGCCCAACACAGCCCAGTATGAGACGGACGAAGAAACCAACAACACCAGCCCACGTACGAAGGCAACGTAATAATGGATTAAAACGGACTAAAATCAGGGTCGAAAATCAGGGACCAAACCAAAAATACCTATCCCTTTAATAGTAGGTATAGATTTTTGTCTTTTCGTCATGGTTTCGTCCGGTGAAATGCCTTTTACCATTTCCTTGCTCTAAAATACCTAGGTGTATGTGCTGAAAAATGTGAAAAAAGATCCACTAAATTGTACATGTACTCAATACTAGTATATGGAAAAATTTAAGCTCGGTTGGACCAAAGGTTTGGGAGATATTGATAGTTTTACTTGCCCGACGGTCGTGTTTAGGTATTTTGTCACGCGTGCGCTTACAAGCGAGGCCCAACCATTGAATATTACATCAACGTACCTCAATATTGAAATAGACCTACATAGACCGAGGACCTAGCTGCAATGGCTTACACTAATATGTGTTATTTCGGTTAGTGCAATTCCCTCTCTTAGAACTAACGTTTCCTCCGATTTTCTACCAGAAGCCCTTGTTGAGTCACCCCCTCGTCAGCGGCCGCTCGGAATCCTTTGGAGAAAGAGAGATATATTATCTTCTCTTTTTATTGGTGTGTTCCATATGTGTGACTTGGCTTCGGAGAGAGATAGTCTATTTTATTTCTTTTCTGTTTTTTGGAAGGGTCTGAAGTGTTAGGGGCATAACCCATCTGATAGTTATCAAGGAAATTTTGGACCAGGAAAATGGTCGACAACCAGACGAAATTGATATTGGACGCCAAAAGCTAATAGCACGTCGCTTTTCAGGAGGCAAAACAAAGTAGCCTTGAAAACCAAAGACAAATCTGACTAATTGTGTGACATAATTAATGGCAGTAATGCAATTGTCCCTTTTTTAAACCTTCTCTGGTATTCTCTGTAAATACATTATATTTGTCAATAAAAAATAATATTTCTGAAGAAAAATCTTAAAATTTAGTGATCACAGTGAGCCAAAGGAAATGTTAGTATCTTTTTTCTTTTTGCGGGTGAAAGGAAAATGTTAGTATCTTGCGAGTAGATTCAACCAAAAATGTTACCCCACACATTGCAAAAGCCTTGTCCGTTGCCGATTCAACGGACATTGTTTTTTTGACTGCCATGTACGCTGATGTTAGTTGGTTTTTTCCCTCAAAAAAATAAGTTATTCAAATAGAAACAAGCCTAAGTGCAGCGGCGGAGCTTGAACAAAATCTCAGGAGGGGCGAAGCTGCCAAAGAAAGAACTTTGAATACGAATCGTGTGACCATATAGTTAGCTTCTGTAGAATATTGAGAAACTTAGAATGATTATAGTGATCTTGTACATGTTAGTTTATGAAATACTTTTTTATGTTAAGTACATATAGAAGCTATTCATAATAAAAAGAAATACAAAAATGCTAGTTTTTTTCGAGAAATACCAAAATACTAATTAATCAGGAATTATTGTGCTAATCACTACAGACCAGCTCTTAGTTTCTTTGCTCTCCCGAATTACATAGGAACATATTCATAGTTGTTCTTCTCCGTGATATATGTTTACAATCAAGCTATTGGCTAGAAATCATTTTTAATCACTTTGTCTTAATAGTCTGCAGTCCTTCGGATTAGTACCTCATTTGTTAGAGTTTGTTCGTCATTGTTTATTCATGGATTTGATGTTCAAATTTGGGCTCTGCTTCGGTCCATGAGAGGGTGAGAGGAATCACCGGCTAACCACGTGCGGCGCCGGCGTCAGCTGATTCCCCCGCGCGGCCACAACGAGATTTGTGGGCTGTGGTGGCGTGAGACTCTGGTCACGCTATTGCCCTCCTAGCCCCCCACGTCCAGTCGCCAGGTCACCGGTCACCAAGTACACGAGAGAGTCGACGAGGACGAAAAGCAAGCTGGTTGCGTGGTTGGTCGCTCCTCATCTCCCCAGTCCCTTATTAAATGGGCCAAATGGTTCCAGTGCTATTATACGCTACTCGAGTTTTACCATTTTCGTTGGGGGGGCGATGGCCCAGGTTCGTCTCCAAGAAGCTCCGCCACTGCCTAAGTGGAAAGCTCTCTCCCTTTTACTTCGTTACTTTTAGAAAAAAAATTAAAAAAAGGATGTATCCCGGACCTCTGCATCTGAGCGATGCATGCAGCCATAAATGGGTAGATGGAGAGATTTGAACCTAGATGGCTTTAAAAACATAACATACTCTTCATTGCACTAGAAGGCCCCCTCCAATATAAGTTATGTAAGATATGGCACACTCTTATACCCCTCACAAAGCACTGTTGTCTAGAGCAAGTGTTCAGTGCGTGATCAGTTTGCTTTCACTATGCTTGGTAGTCGATACTCAGTCGCACTGATCTGAAGCGTTTCACTTGGCAGTCGCCGCCGCCGCCGCAACAGCGGCACGATAAGCCTAGCGCTTCTTGGCGTACTCCATCACCGCGTCTGTGTCGGGTACCACCTCCTTCGCCGCGTCGGTCTTAGCGAACCGTTTCGCCCAAGCCGCTAAGAGTGGAGTCTTGCCGGCGTCCAGGAACACCACGTCAAACATCTTGCGTTGCGCCTTGAGCCAGAGCAAGTGGCATCCGACCGCGAGGTCGAGGTACCCGATGGAGTCCCCGGCAAAGAAGGCCTTTCCGTTCGAGTGCTTGGCAAATGCCTCCTCAAGTTGCTCGACCACCACAAGCGTCTCGTTAACCTTCTCCGCCCTCTCCACCTCCGTGGTAGCTCTATTAACACCGACATAAGCAGAGAATAGCTGGAAGGAAGATCATGTCAGAATTTGACAGTGTAGGCGGGGAAGACACAAACCTTGCCGTCGATGTAAGTACAATCTAGAAGATAAAGGAAGACTGAGCTGAGGTACGAGAAAACACAAACCTTGTCGTCGACGTAGGCGGCCCAGAAGCGGGCGGTGGCGCGCTCGTAGGGGTCGACAGGGAGGATCGACGGCCCCATGGCGGCCCAGACTTCGTCGATGTACTGCACGATGGCGGACGAATCGAGTATGGTCTTGCCATTGTGGATGAGTACGGGTACCTTCTTCTCCACCGGGTTGGACTTGAGGAGAAGCTCACTCTTGTTGAAGAGGTCCTGTTTGATATACTCGTAGCTCAAGCCCTTCATGTGGAGCGCCATGCGAACACGAACTACAAATGGGCTCACCGACAAGCCTAGCAACTTCAGGTCTCCTTCAGCTGCCATTGTTGTCTTCCGTCTCTCTGTTCTTCCATGGTTCAATGTGCTGAAATCAATGCGAGAACATCATTATACTTGGATGTTTAGGGCTTGTTTGGTTTCAAATAAGTCGCCAACTTATAAGTCGAAAGTGAAAAAAGTGACTTATTTTGTCAAACAGACCCAACTTATAAGTCACCTCAACTTATAAGTCATAAGTTGCTCCACTCCAACTTAAAACTTATAAGTCACCCCCTTTTGCGTGGGTTCCACCACATGCATGATGTGAATTGGTGCGGAAAGCTGTGATCAAGTGACTTATAAGTTAGGTGACAGCCAAACAGACATGACTTATAGGGGTTGTTTGGATACGGTGTTTCTTGAGAACCAGTTTTTCTTAAACATAAAATCTGTTATAACCGCCTAAAACCTTGTTTGGGTTATCCAATGGAATCGTGGATATGGATTATCAGGTTTGCTAAAAACGCAAAAAGTGTGTTTATAGAAAAACGACTAATATACGTTTTTCTATAAACTTGTTTTCTGTATACTGTAGCTTCCCGCCGTCGGGTGCCTCGGCTTGTTGAACTTTAGTGTTTGCATCGCCATTCGCATCGTCTTCGTCGTCTCCACTGTTGAGGTTGCCATCTAATTCTACGCCCCGGTGCGTCCATGCCGGTGGCTGGCGGCGACCGCCGCCGGCGCCCGACGACGACGTCGAGCTCCGCGGCATCGATGATGCGAGGCTGAAGGTTAATACCTGACGGCAATAGACTACGGTATAATGGCAAGAGACCACGCTGCCATGGCCGGTCGTGCGTCGACCGGCTCGTCTACTACTTAGCTCGCCATGCCCGTCTTGGTCGCTGCGGGCTGGGGCGCTGGTTATCTCGTCACGCCCGTTCTCAACGTATCCATGCCCAGCTTGGCTGCGTCTGGCTGCGCCTCTGCCACCGTTCCGCTCCACACCAAGCGGTGCAGCTGTGTTGCTATACTGCTATGTGTACATCTTGTCCACATCGAAGCCATTTGTTTGTGCTGGTGTATACATATGACAAGTCGCGTTTGGCGGAAAAGCATGTGCGTTGTGTCCGCGTCATGTATAGCATACAGAAGTATGCGGGAAGGGAGGCGACGAGCGAAGCTTCATGGCCTCGGGTGGGAGGAGCGCAAGGTAACTGACTAATTGTGTTATTCTTCTTCTTTTTCTCTACCCAAACAAGAAATTGTATATACTTATCTTAACAGAAAAACTAACTAAAACTGGTTTTCCTAAAAATCCTCCTAAAACTCGTTTTGCTAAATCTAACATCTAATCCTAGATATCCAAACAACCACATAAGTCACTTCTTTTAAGTCACCTAACTTATAAGTTGGTGATTTATTTGGAACCAAACAGGCCCTTATATAGCAGGTATTTGCGTGTCTATGTGCATCACCTGTGACGTATCATGCATTTAAATTGTAGCAATTGGTCAACACTTCTCCACGGAATGGTGTGAGAGAAGTTGGTGATTGCATGTCACTGATTTTCACTTTTCTTCCACAAACGGGCTCACCACCCATTCTTACCAGCTTCACGTCTGCGATTAGCCATTGTTCTCACCCTCTATTTCTATGAAGTTATTCCTGAGTATTGCTTTTATGTTCTTGACTGGGTATCGCTGGAAGTACTTTTTTTTAAACGAAGGCTCAAGGAAAGCCCGACTTTGAATTAACAAAGCCATCAACCGGCTAGGGATTACACAAGGCCATCGTTACAACCACTAAACATCGGCGAAAAGACGCTAACAAGAAACGAAAAGAGCAGCAGATACATAGTGTTGCCGAAGCAGCTTACAAGCACCAAAGACTAAGCCCTATAGGGATAAGCAAATAAAGCGCTAGCTAGAAGTCGATGGCGTCCACCAAGTGAAGTAGATCAAGCTGAGCAAACCGGAGGGGTTCTTCATACTGAGACACAGTCCAGCTATGGTCACATCTGATGAAGTCATGTACCTGGGGTAGGGTCATGGACCTGTCCAAGGTACCCTCCCCGAGGACATCTTTAGAAGAAGCCGTCTTCCAGTCGACCAAGAGGGAATCCACTCGACGGACTGGAAGACACTCGACAAACTCAAAGACACTCGACCATGAAGACTCACTCGACCACCAGGAGTTCAAGATCTGCTCTGTATCCAAACGGTCTGCAATTAAGTAGTCTTTATGGTCATGATGACACTTTATGTAAGGCGTTATCAGTAACGTCTGGCCTTTATGTACATTGAACTCTCTGCTACATGGGCTGGCTGGGGTCCTGACGCACTCTATATAAGCCACCCCCCTCCACAGGCAGAAGGGTTCGCACCCCTGTAACTCTCACACATATAATCCAGTCGACCGCCTCCGGGCTCCGAGACGTAGGGCTGTTACTTCTTCCGAGAAGGGCCTGAACTCGTAAAACTCTTGTGTGCACAACTACTCCATAGCTAGGATCTTGCCTCTCCTTAGTACCCCCCTACACTACTGTCAGAATTAGAACCACGACAGTTGGCGCCCACCGTGGGGCAGGTGTCTTAGCGACTTATTGGAGAAGTTGCAATCTTTTCGATTCCCATCATCATGGTTTCAGGTGGAGTTTTGGTTGAGGGCCGCGAGATCCGTCTCGATGCGCTCACATTCGTCATCGACGACTCTGCCTGGCTGCAGGAGGCTCCGCTCGACGTGGATGCGCTCCCGGTCCGTGGAGCTACGCACTTTCGAGCATGCGTCCGCGGCGTCCTTCTGCGGCAACCGTCGACTCAGTATCGGCCGATTTTCGTTTCATCCTCCCTCCCAGCTTCCCGCCGGCGTAAGCGCTCCGGTCGGTCGAGGCTCCAGCGGTGGGTGAGGCATGCAGTGGCTCGCCAGTCGACCACCGCCCAAGTCGCGTCAATCGAGCCCGACGAATCTCTCTACGGCCTGTTCGACCTGTCGACTGGCTCCGCAGAGACTGCATCCGAGTGCGACAGCAGTGATCCAGCGGCGGAGGTCCTGATGGTCAATGGACCGCACATTCCCCCCGGCTTTCCTGGCGCCGAGGGAGGCAATGGCGGAGGCGATTCGTCGCACGACCATGAGGAATACCTCCCCGAGCCCCTCAATTCGCAGCAAAGGGAAGAGCTTCGCCGCCGGAACATGGATGCGCTTCACACTCCGATCGTTGGAGAAACCCCTGAGGCTCGCGCCTTAGAGGACGCGCGCTTGGCCAACATGGCTGAGCGCACTCGACTGGAGAACCTTCAGCGGGCACTCGACGAGCGCGCACGGCAACGGATTCCAGACGCCAGTTGATGCCAACTCTTTAAACCTCCGACTCAGGTATATCGAACTCCGATTCAGAATTTAGCAGCTGCAGCCCATATAGCAGAGTCGATTCAGCCTTCCCAGTCAGAGGCTGGCAGAGGCTTGATGCAGATCATAGATTTGCTCCGGGCAGCAGGAGATCAGAATTCAGCTGTATCGCAGTCGCGGAACAGGATTCACAGCAGATCCGTGGCAGCGAATACGGTCGAGTCGGCTCATAGCCCCAGATCGCCCCCGAGGCGTGAAGGGCATGGCGACCGACACGATCAGTACAGGAACTATGAGCAGTATGATCACCGATTCGATCGCAACGATCGACGTCGAGTGCCCACTCCTCCCCAAGGGGTGGATCATATGTGCCTCGACAGCAGGATGATAGACGCCAGCACAGTGGCGGGCGAAGGATTCCAGTCGACCCCAGGGAACCAGGCTTTGATGCAAGATCCATCATTGTTCAAGGTCTGGTCGACCGGAACAGAGCCCACAGAGAGGGTAATGACAGAGATGTACCCACCAGCAGCCGAGTGCATGTCTCCGGACCAGAGTGTTTCAGTAGAGCCATCAGAGCCGCGGTAATTCCTCCCAACTTCAGGTTGGCGACTGGAGTCAGCAAGTTTAACGGTGAGTCCAAGCCTGATACTTGGCTTGAGGACTACCGAGTGGCTGTTCAGATCGGCGGCGGAAACGACGAGGTGGCCATGAAGCATCTGCCTCTTATGTTGGAAGGGTCAGCCAGAGCATGGCTGAATCAGTTGACACCCAGCATCATTTACACGTGGGAGGACCTCTCCCGAGTGTTTGTCAGAATGTTCAAAGGAACGTGCAAGCGACCAGCAGGACTGACAGAGCTGCAATCTTGTGTGCAGAAGTCGAATGAGACTCTGAGAGATTACATCCAGAGATGGATCACACTGCATCACACGGTAGAGAGTATCTGATCACCAGGCAGTTTGCGCCTCCAAGGAAGGCGTAAAATACAGAGAGCTAAGCCTGAAATTCGGTCGAACCAGAGACATGTCTCTGAGTCGAATGATGGAAATAGCCACCAAATATGCCAATGGTGAGGAAGAGGATCGGCTCCGGAGCGGCAAGCACAAGTCAGTCGCCCAGGACACCGGAGGCGGAAATTCCAATCGGAAGCAAAAGCGGAAAGCCGAGCCAGCCGCTCCTGGAGAAGCCTTGGCCCTGAATCAAGGAAAGTTCAAAGGGAAGCCCAAAGGGCCTTGGAATCCCAAGAAAGTAAAGGATAAGGAAGGAAATGACGTGATGGATTTGCCATGTCACATCCACACCAAGAAAGATGAAGAGGGTAACTTCATTTACCCGAAGCATGCCACTCGACAGTGCCGACTCCTGATACAGCAGTTCCAAGGGAAGCAGTCCAAGGTCAAAGAAAAAGAGTCGGACAAGGTTGAGGGCAAAGAGGACAGTGACGAAGAATATCCACAAGTCAATTCCACCCTGATGATTTTTGCTGATGTTGAGAGCAAAAACCGACTGAAAGTGATAAACCGAGAGGTGAATATGGCTGCTCCGGCAACCCCAAATTATCTAAAGTGGTCTCAAACCGCCATTACATTCGACCAGTCAGACGACCCAACGCACATAGACACCCCTAGGAGGCAGGCTCTGGTGGTCGACCCGGTTGTCGAAGGGACTCGACTGACCAAGGTACTGATGGATGGTGGCAGTAGTCTGAATAT